GTTTAGGGTTTAGGGTTTAGGGTTTAGGGTTTAGGGTTTAGGATGCGGAGCCTTACTTATGAGACGGAGCTTGGGATGTTCCCCCTTATACTAGCAGTCCTTAATAGGCATTATAGTACCCCGTATAATGAAAACAGGACTGCTAGTACAAGGGGGAACATCCCAGTACGGAGTCTTTTTGATGTAGGGTAGCCAGAGAAAAGGAACATTTCCGGGAGTTCTTGTGTTTCGGAGCCCCTTTTTTGGATGCAGGGTAGCCAGAGAAACGGAACATCCCATCTCAGAGAAGCTCCCCATTTTGACCTGGGCAGAATGTGAGAGAAGTGGCCTGCAAAAGGCTTGTGGGCTTTGGTGTCTGAACCCTAAGGCCCCTCAACCCTGCAAACCCTCCAATAAACCCTTCAAACCCTAAACCCTAAACCCCAAACCCCAAACCCCAAACCCCAAAACCCCAAACCCTAAACCCTAAACCCTAAGGCCTCTAAACCCTTTAAACCATCGTAAGTAACCCTACACCCAAAAAACTCAACTCGACGACCGGCTGAGCAGTTCACGGTTCTGACGAGGGTTGGTGACCTGGAAGGCCTGGGCTTGGGGTTTGGGGTTTGGGGTTTGGGGTTTGGGGTTTGGGGTTTAGGGTTTAGGGTAGTTTAAGGTTTACGTGCAGAGCTTGTTATAGGGTCCTGAAGAGACGGGGTTCGAGGGGGCATGTGACCCCAGGCTCCCTAGTACTCCCCAGGCTAAGCTTCCATAAGGTTCCCTCTAGGTATCTACCCCCCGTGAACCCCCCTAAACCCTAAACCCTAAACCCTAAACCCTAAACCCTAAACCCTAAACCCTAAACCCTAAACCCTAAACCCTAAACCCTAAACCCTAAACCATAAAACCTAAACCCTAAACCCTAAACCCTAAACCCTAAACCCTAAACCCTAAACCCTAAACCCTAAACCCTAAACCCCAAACCCTAAACCCTAAACCCTAAACCCCCCCTCCCTTAAGGACCCTATAAGTTTAGTGTCTTGACGATGAGATGCTACCGAGGCCATGCGCGCGAAGAGACGCAGTTCAAAGCAACGCTCTACGTCGGGGAGGCGATGAGTCGTTGCTGGAGGGTGAGTTCCATGACCCTATAAACCCACTAAGGGATCAAACATAGTTGACCTACTTCTCTGATTCCCTAACTGCAGAGACCCCAAACCCTAAACCCTAAACCCTAAATCCCAAAACCTTAACCCTAAACCCTAACCCCCAATGAGAGTGCCAGGAACAGTGGCAGCCATTTGCCGAGCTCCTGGATTCCACCTACCGAGCCCGAAGCAGCCAAGACAGGACAGAGCCCAAAAAGACCTGAATACTGGGTTTAGGGTTTAGGGTTTTGGGTTCATTGTGACATTAAAGAGGACCGTAGAACAGCCCGACCTGGAAAAGGAATCCTGGGAATCAGGGATATGGAGCTAGGTAACTTCTATCCCTCCCCCATTATACATATGAAACTCAGCGGAGTGGTGCCTGTACATTCGTACCCTTTGAGGTACTTATATCGAGGGCGCTTCAAAGTACTTGCCTCTGCCGCATGCGTCACGACAGGCCATGCCCCACTGGCGCATGCCCCAAGACGCAGGGCGGATGCCCTTGTGTGCAGCCTGACGGCGAGCCAGGCTTGGGTGCAGGGTTGTTAGGGTTGTTAGGGTTGTGAGGGTTGTGAGGGTTGTGAGGGTTGTTAGGGTTGTGAGGGTTGGTAGGGTTTAGTTGCGTACTCTCTCCTGACCCGGGTCTGGCTGAGAAGGACAACGTGTGCTGCACCAAGACCTGGTAAAGTAGAGTCTCGAGCCGCCTAAGCCCTAAACCCTAAACCCTAAACCCTAAACCCTAAACCCTAAACCCTAAACCCTAAACCCTAAACCCTAAACCCTAAACCCTAAACCCTAAACCCTAAACCCTAAAACCCTAAACCTAAACCTAAACCCTAAACCCTAAACCCTAAAACCCAAACCGAATTAACCCCCCCCCCTGTCCAACACAAATCCTAAACCCTAAATCCCTAAATCCCGAAACCCGAAACCCTAAAACCCCTAAACCCCTTAAACCAACCCCTTAAACCCCTAAAACCCCTAAACCCCCTAAACCCCTAAACCCCTAAACCCCTAAACCCCTAAACCCCTAAACCCCTAAAACCCCTAAACCCCTAACCCCTAAACCCAAACCCCTAAAACCCTTAAACCCCAAACCCCCCCCCTAAACCATTAAAATCCTTAAACCCTAAGCCCTAAGCCATACCCGAACTCCCCCCCCCCCCCCCCCCAAAACCCAAAAAAAAAAAAAAGAGGCAAAACAAAACAAAACCCCTAAACCCTAAAACCGAAACCCCGAAATCCTAACCCGTTCCCTTCGGGCCTCTGACGCTCTGAGAGGCTTGCCTGCCCAAAAAATAACCCTAAGTTCCTAAACCCCTAGACCCTAAACCCTAAACCCTAAACCCTAAACCCTAAACCCTAAACCCTAGACCCTAAACCCTAAACCCTAAGCCCTAAAGTGGGCCTCTCACACTCTGAGAGGCTTGCCTGCAAGTTATGTTGTGCGGCGAGTGCTCCGGGCCGAGAACTCCGGGACCGCCACTAGGGTTTAGGGTTTAGGGTTTAGGGTTTAGGGGCCCGCCCCCATCCTTGCAATTCTGAGAAAATGTCCTATAATCCCCACTAAGAACTCTTAAGCGTAGCCTCCCCGAACCCTAAACCCCAGACCCTAGGCCCTCGACCCTCGACCCTAGCCCTAAGCCCTAAACCCTAAACCCTAAACCCTAAACCTAAACCCCCAAAAGCCCCTGAAGCCCCTGAAGCCATCGAGCCTCGGAGGACTTGGCAGCGCTACGTGGCGAAGAGGGCGCGGCTTCGTGCCGAGCGACAGGTGACCTCCGCGGGCCCGGGAATGGGGATTTAGGGTTTAGGGTTTAGGGTTCAGTGTTTAGGGTGTAAGCACTTTGGGACTTAGGGAGTCAGGGCTGCAGGGACTTAGATGATCAGGACGTGCAGGCTTCGAGGACACATGCAGGCTTCAGGCAAATGGGCCACCAGACTGTTGAGTCCCGTGGTTGGAAGTGCACGAGATGTCGTTCTCAGTGATCTTGCATGGCCCTTTTTTTCAACCCTAAACCCTAACCCTAAACCCTAAACCCTAAACCCTAAACCCTAAACCCTAAACCCTAAACCCTAAACCCTAAACCCTAAACCCTAAACCCTAAACCCTAAACCCTAAACCCTACCCCTAAACCCTAAACCCTAAACCCTAAACCCTAAACCCTAAACCCTAAACCCTAAACCCTAAACCCTAAACCCTAAACCCTAAACCCTAGACCCTAGACCCTAGACCCTAGACCCTAAACCCTAAACCCTAAACCCTAAATTTAAGAGCCTCCGGCTCAACCCGCCGACCCCGCAGGAGAACAAGTTCAAGGTTTGGGGTTTGGTAGATTGGGTTTGCGGTTCGGGTCTGGGTCGGGGGGTGGGGGGGTGGGGCCAGCCGGGGCGTGGGGTAGGGGGGGGGGGGGGGGGGGGGTTTTTTCCCTCCTGTGCCCCCTATGCACTGTGTGAAACCGCCTATGGTCCATGAGTTTACGCGGTGTGGGTGGCCTGTTCCTCCACAAAAAAGCTGCCGGAGTACCCCCCCCTACCCCGCCCCCCCCCCCCCCCGGTAAGGAGGGAGAGGGAGGTTTTCACCTCCAAACCCCCAACATGCCGCCAAGGTCGGCGAAACCCTACCCTAAACCCTAAACCCTAAACCCTAAACCCTAAACCAAAACCCTAAACCCTAAACCCTAACCCAAACCCTAAACCCTAAACCCTAAACCCACCCTAAACCCTAAACCCTAAACCCTAAAACCCTAAACCCTAAACCCTAAACCCTAAACCCTAAACCCTAAACCCTAAACCCTAAACCCTAAACCCTAAACCCTAAACCCTAAACCCTAAACCCTAAACCCTAAACCCTAACAACCCGGCCCGTTGCACGGGTGCAAAAGGGAGACTTGGTTCGAGAGCTCCTGGGGTGGTGCCACGGTACTCTCAGTGCTGTCACAAGAACATAAGAAGCTTGCTCAAGACATTTAGTATGTGGCTGGTTGGCAAAATTATGGTCCCTTTTTGGATCCCTCTTATCATACGTCACCCAATATTAGGGTACCCCAAAAGGGATCATGATTTTGACAACCACCCATATGTGGTTGTGTGGAAAGCAAGAAGAATGTGGGCAAGCATCCTGCGCGGAGCCAGGATTCAGGGTGTTGATGCCTGGGGTTTTGGAGGGGCATTTCAGAAAGGGGTGGTGCCCACAAGAAGGACCATCATCGAGCGAGCCGGATTGCATCTGAGAAATCCCCATCCCATCCCTGCACGTCTGCTCCTTTTTGTCCGGAACGTGGGCCCTTTATGCATGTAAGATCCCCACAATGCTCTAAAGTCCAGGTGCCTTTGTCGGACTCGAGCAAAGCTTGATAGGGATTTAGGAGGTTCCTTTCATGATTGTGGTGAAGACCTCTAAATCTCGCTTTTGAACAGAAGCACGCTTTCTGCGCGAAAGCCTTCCACCGCAGGGCACGGACAGATTGGAGGCGGCGGTGCGCACTGAAGGACTTCGGGGTATTCGGTCAACTGGCGGATGGCTGTGTCTCAAGGTGTCGGGCTTTCATTTCCTGAGTAAGAGGCTGTTCCGTGATGGTACCACCGAATACCGTGACTGCGATGGCTTTGTGCAGAGTTGTCCCTCCACGCTTCCAGGACTTGTGGGTCAGCATCCGGAGCTCTTTGCCCCAGTGGATGCGAGTCTGAACGAGGCGGGGTTTCGAAAATCGGGGTACTCAATTTTTGGGGGGCCCCTTTAAGGGGCTTCTATTCTTGCAAGGGGTGAAAAAGGGTACCCCTATTTTGGGAAATGCCCAGGTATACCTCTGGCATGGCACCCCAATACGCACGGCACTGGCCATTGCGCGCGATGGCTTCGACCTAGCGATGGCGGGCTCCAACGGCACCATGTACGGCAAAGGCCTCTACTTCGCGGAGAACAGCACCTGGGTGAATTTGGGACCCTAAGCCCTAAACCCCAACCCCAAACCCTAAACCCCAAACCCTAAACCCTAAACCCCAAACCCCGAACCCTAAACCCTAAACCTCAAGTTTGGGGCGACCTGCTGGAGTCTGAGGGTAGGTACCGGGGCCTTTAATATGGTCCCTTACCTCCTTCAAAGGGATCTGAAGTACCCGAGACCCTCGACCCTAAACCCTAAACCCTGAACCCTTAACCCTAAACCCTAAAGGGAATATAAGATGTATTTATGGGGTGCCCTTAATTTAAGGTCCCACACTAAGGAACCATGTAAATACCCTTAGATGGAGACATGGGATGATCCTGGGTGATAGAAGAGCTGGTCTCGACTGCTGAGGTACGAAAGCAGACGAGTATGCAAGGGACGAGCCCCACGGCCGCTCTGCTGAGTTGCATAGGGCCCTTGGAACTGTTGTGTGTGTGTGTGTGGTTTAGGGTTTAGGGGTTAGGGTTTAGGGTGTACGTGTGTGCGTGTGTGTGTGCGGAAAAGTAAGTAAGTAGGTAGGTAAGTAAGCAAGAAAGTAAGGAAGCAAGTAAGTTTGTGTGTGTGAGTGTGTGGGGGCAAGAGAGAGAGCCACACGCACCTCACATGAAGAACAGGTGACACCCAACACAAGGACTGGAAATGCTGGAAGACCACGGCATGAAAACAGTCCGAAGCAAAAGCGCAGCTTTAACAGCACATTTCTCATCCTGAGGTGAAATCCGCGTCTCACATTAGAAACCTTAGCGAAACGAGTTGACAATCCAGAAGCTTGGGCATAGGGCCGAGGAGGTTCCGCGTTTCACGGGGAGAACCACCTTAAAACAATCCCAAAGCAACAGCGAGCTAAAACATATGAATGTTCAAGACTCAGGTTTACGCAAGACTTGACGCAACGGTTTCAGCACATCGCACGAAACAGTTCGAAAGTAGTGTTGGAAACGCATCCTCAGGACTTCAAGTGTGGACAACAAACATGGGTATGACCACCTTTACGGTAACAACCGGAAAGCATGAAAAACTGAAGCTGCAAGGAGCCTTTTCTTGAACACATGCGTCGGAAATCCCGTGCCTCGCACCAGAAACACAGCACACAGCATTCCTATTGTAAGCAAAGCATGAGACGTCACAACTTACCAAGACTCCCAAACACACAAAACAAAACGCATATGGGTAATTCTCGAAGTTAGGTTCCTTTTTTGGGGTCCTTGTCTGCAAGGGTACCGCAATTCAGAGCACAGAAAGTATAGTGAGAGTATGGTATGACATCACAAAACATGGCCTGTGCCAAAGGTTCATGGGTGCCATGTGTTCGCTCTTGCGGCACGAGTACTCGTAGGCCAGGGAACAACGCATCTCAATGCTGAGATGCTGGTGAAGGTTCTCAAGTTTTATACCGAGCCTAGTAAAGAATCAATAGGAAGCAGGTTTGAGGGCGGTAGATTTCCAGCCACATGTGTCTATGTACCTCGCTTGTCAGGCTTTTTCCAAGACGTCTTCGCCCTCCTCCTTTGCCGCGTCTGCCTGGGCAAGCTCCTTGGTTGATGTTACGGACTTTATTGAAGTCATCCATTTTGAAGTTCCCATGAGAGGGAAGCCCTGTGGTAGCCTGAGCCCTAAACCCTAAACCCTAAACCCTAAACCCTAAACCCTAAACCCCAAACCCCAAAACCCCAAGCCCTAAACCCTAAACCCTGCAAACTTCGTTCCATGTTCTTTGACAGCAACCCAGGTTCCTCTACTCCGAAGATCGGCTTGATTCAGCAGGCCAGCCTTTAAAGCCCTCCACCGGAGCTTCGTTCGACTTAGAGATTGGGATGCTCCCCCTTGTACGAACAGTCCTTAATACGGGTTATCATCGGGGGTTCTACAATCCCATTAAGGACTGTTAGCCCTACACGAACAGTCCTTAATAGGATTATAGTAAGGGGGAGAAGGGGGTATGAAAATCCCAATAAAGGTTAGCGTCAACGTAATGTGCATTATACAGTACATACCCTTTATGTAGTTTAAGGTGCCCAACAAGTCTCCCCAACAGATGCCCAAAAGTCCGAGTTCGAATGGTCGATGCAGGCGCCATGGCAGAAGCAGGGACCATCGACAGCACAGTCGGGGACAGGACTGGGACTCTGCACCTGTCACGAGGTGGCTCCGTAGTTCAGGGGCTCAGGGATTCGGGTTTAGGGTGTAGGGTCAGGGCGTTTGGAGTTTAGGGTTAAGGGTGTAGGGTGTAGGGTGTAGGGCTTGGGGCTTAGGGTGTAGAGTTCAAGCCTTCGTTGCTCGGACGTTCCGTGGCGGCTCCCGCTTTGTAAAGGACCCGCTCGGCAAACACCTTCCGGGAGTTTGCGGCCTACGACCCCGACCAGGCACAGGGAAGTCGCCCTCAAAGGCTTCTAAGCCAAGACCCAGATTTGGGGAGATTTACGATTTTAGGGTTTAGGGTTTAGGGGTACCCTACTGGGGTCTAGACGATAAGGGGATCCTACTATTATTTGGGGGTCGATGTATTATTAGGGGTCCCTGATTCTCGCAAACCCCATTTCAGTTTCAAGAAGTGTCTACTAGGGCCTGGGAAGTTTGCGGTACACTGGGCTTGAGGGTACCGTTCAGTGTAACCCTGGGCCCTAAAGCCTAAACCCTGAGCCCTAAAGAAACCCCTAAGACTCCCACGTTCTATGCCCTAAAATTGCCCTAGAATCCCTTAAGACCCTCAAACCCCAAACCCTAAACCCTAAACCCTAAAATCCCTTAAGACCCTCAAACCCCAAACCCTAAAATCTTTTGAGGCCCCCAATCCCTAAACACTAAAAACCCTTAAGGTGTGCCCGAAAAAAACCTTTAAGGCTCCCCCGAAACCCTAAACCCTAAACCCCAAACCCCAAACCCCAACCCTAAGCCCTAAACCCTAAACCCTAAACCCTAAACCCTAAACCCTAAACCCTAAACCCTAAACCCTAAACCCTAAACCCTAAACCCTAAACCCTAAACCCTAAACCCTAAACCCTAAACCCTAAACCTTTGGGACAGCCCTGGGACAGCCCGGGAGGTCTATCCCGAGTACGTGGTGCTGTACTCACGGCGGCCGAAGGCCCCGGCATGGCATGGGGTTTAGGGTTTAGGGTTTGGGGTTTAGGGTTTAGGGTTTAGGGTTTAGGGTTTAGGGTTTCGGGTTTGGGGTTTGGGGTTTGGGGTTTGGGGTTTGGGGTTTGGGGTTTGGGGTTTAGGGTTTAGGGTTTAGGGTTTAGGGTTTAGGGTTTAGGGTTTAGGGTTTAGGTTTGGGGTTTGGGGTTTGGGGTTGGGTTTGGGTTTGGGGTTTGGGGTTTTGGGGTTTGGGGTTTAGGGTTTAGGGTTTAGGGTTTAGGGTTTAGGGTTTAGGGTTTGGGGTTTGGGGTTTAGGGTTTAGGGTTTGGGGTTTGGGGTTTGGGGTTTAGGGTTTAGGGTTGAGGGTTAGGGTTTAGGGTTTAGAGTTTGGAGTTGTGGCTGTCCGGGGTTTCGGTGTGTAGGACGTTACACGGAAGCCCTTAGAGCTCAAAACTCAAAAGCTTTAAGAGCCCTAAGGGCCACAAAGCCCCGAACCCTCAGACCCGGAAGACCCTCAGGCCGAAAAGCCTTAAAGCCCCGAGCACCCTAAACCTTAAAACCCTAAACCCTAAACCCTAAACCCTAAACCCTAAACCCTAAACCCTAAACCCTAAACCCTAAACCCTAAACCCTAAACCCTAAACCCTAAACCCTAAACCCTAAACCCTAAACCCTTTACCGGAAGGCTGTTGCTCCCGAGCCCTTCAAGTTCGGCCTGGCGCAGCTTCACACGCAGCTCTGTGGCTTGCAAATCCGAAGCTGCAGTGGGCTCAGGGTTTGGGGCTTGAGGCTTTGGGGTTTCGGGCTTAGGGAAAGGGTCCCTATGTCCTAAACCCTGAACCCTAAACCCTAAACCCTCAACCCTAAGCCCTGAACCCTAAAGCCCCTACAACGCAAAACCCCAAACCCTAAGCCCGAGTTGGACTTTCAGGGTGTGGAGGACGGAAGGGCATGCCCCTAACTCGCCCGCACGGCAACCTCAAGAACCTCAAGAGCGGGTTTGGCGTCTAAACCCTAAACGACCCTAAACCCTAAACCGATTTAGGTTCAGGGGGGTTCAGGCCAGGCCACAGAGGCCTTCTGGCTAGGCCCCGGGTAGCGCGTAGTTCTAAAAGCTTAGAACCCTGCACCCTAAACCCTCAATCCTAAACCCTAAACCTGAACCCTGAACCCGGAACCCTAAACCCTAAACCCGTACTAAACCCTAAACCCTAACCCTATAAACTTTGCGAATAAGCTTCCACCCCTCACCCCCGAAACGTTAAACCCCTCGCAAAGCCTAAACCCCAAAACCCTGTAAACTCCAAACCCCACTTCCCAAAAACCTTGAACCCTTAATCCCCCAAAACAAGTCAGGTTTAGGGTTTAGGGTTTAGGGTTGAGGGTTTAGGGTTTAGGGTTTAGGGTTTAGGGTTTAGGGTTCAGGGCTTAGGGCTTAGGGCTTAGGCTTTAGGGTTTAGGGTTTAGGGATTTAGGGTTTAGGGGTTTAGGGGTTTAGGGTTTAGGGCAAAAGCCCTAGCTCCAAAGCCCTTAAGCTCCTGAACCAACATGCCGCAGAGAGGCTCCCCGTCTACTGGAAGCACTTCCACTTGAATCCGCAGACCAACTTCTTTGAGGCCCAAGTTGCTTAAGCTTGGCTGAAGGGCTCACCCTAAACCCCTAAACCCCGAAACCCTAAACCCCTAAACCCCTAAACCCTAAACCCTAAACCCTCCAAGCCCTATGCCCCTGTAAGACCTTTAGGGTCGAGGATTGGGGGTTTCGGGCCGAAGGGCTACGGAGTCGATCCTTTAAGGGCTATGAGGTGGCGGTCAGATGTTAGGTGTCTTGGTGACTGTAAGGTTCAGGAGTCAGGGTTGGAGGAACCCCAAACCCTAAGGCCTGTAAACTTTTGTGTGACTTCAGGGTCTGGTCGCGGCTGGGCTTGGGGGTTTCGGGATGATAGGGTAGGAAGGATCCCCTAGCAACCCCTCCATGTGCAGATGCAGTACCGGGTGCGCGGTGCCTCGCGCGATCTGCTGGGGCAGCTGGCGCAGGCATGCTATCCAGGCTGGGAACGGTCAGGAATTAGGGTGTAGGATGTTCCCCCTCATAACAGTCCTTAATGGGGAGTATCATCGGGGGTACTAGAATCCCGTTTCAGGCCTGTTAGTATAAGGGGGAACATCCCAGGGTGTAGGGTGTAAGGTCTTGGGGCTTAGGGAGATCGAGTGAAGATGAGCCCTGAGTCCTTAACTACGACACCCCAAACGCTGCTAAGATTCTGAGCTTTACTAGGTTACTACACCCTATCGTACCCCAAACCCTAAATACTACACCCCAGTCTAGCACCCCTGAACCCTAAACCCTACTCAGTTTCTGTAATCCTAAACACCAAAGGCCGTTCAGGCCACGACTGCCGGGCCACCGGTTCATGCCACCCAGCCTCGTATAGGGCCTTGGGAATAGCCTATCTATCGATGTACTTGTCTTTAAAAGAATGGCTATGTTAGGTTTTGTGGGCTCACTCTCACAAGAAGTAAATACACAAGTACTCAGAAGTAAATATGCAAATAAATTCTCTCTCTCTCTATATATATAAGTGGAAACAATGCATGTATATGTACGCATATACTCTATTCCGTTCTATTCTTTTGTGTCATGTTGCTATGTTATATTGCATGATTCTATGTTTTTTTTTGAATTTTATACTATACATATATTGATACTCATATTCTTTTCATTTACTTATAGAATATTCTACATAGTATATTCTGTTATATTACATATTTACATGAAATCTTAGGGCCGTTAAGTGTAGTTTTCAGAGGTGGTAAGCCTTCCCACTTTCACCTACAGGAACTCCAACCTCGCCAGCAAACCCCAAACCCCAAACCCCTAAACCACTAAACCCCTAAACCCTAAACCCCTAAACCCCCAAACCCCCAAACCCCTAAACCCCGAAACCCGTAAACCCCTAAACCCCTAAATCCGCAAGCAGAAACGCTGAGGTGGCCGAGGCCGCATCGAGGCAGCTGTAGGGCTGCGGGCTTTCTGTCATAGTACAATCCATAAGGGCGGTTGTCAAAATTATGATCCCTTTTGGGGTACCCTAAACAGTAGGTGCCGTACTATACTTGGGATCCAAGAAGGGACCGTAGTTTCGACAACCCATAAGATTTTTCGGATGCGACAACAGGCCCATAGTTTAGATCCGCACCCTTTCAGGTTTAGGGTTTAGGGCAGTTGAGGGCTTCGGTGGACAAGCAGTGTTGGGCAATTTCCGCACCCAGCCCTTCAACCCCAAACCCTCATCTTCATTGGAGTTGTTGCTGTGTTAAACAACATAAGTAGATATATGTAGATATACACATACATGTTTCCTAAACATATGGGTGCTGAACAAATTCTTCCTACACATAGTGGTGGGTGTGTTTGTGCTCTGGTTCTTCAGGGATCCAAGCCAATAAAGTTCCTCAGATGTCCATGGCCCCACAGCCTGGGTTTGGGGTTTGGGGTTTAGGGTTTGGGGTCTAGGGTTTGGGGTTTAGGGTCTAGGGTTTAGGTTTCAGGGTTTAGGGTTTAGGGCCTTTGAAATTTAGAGTCGCCGCGAGAGTCCCTACCGACACGCTCTGGTCAGTCCAGTCATGTGTCCTTGCCTAACTCCCTCTTTTAGTGTGGCCCATCGAATCTAGGGTATTGACAACTATTACTTGCTGAAGAAACCCCCCAAAAAGTGAAATATCATAGTAGCTTACCTCGCGGCATACTTTCATGCCAAGCATGTTCGTGGACTCGGGTGGCTGGGCAATTCGCTCGCTCTCTGGCGTATGCGGTGCCAGCTGTCCATTCCTCGGTTTAGGGTTTAGGTTTTCGGGTCTAGGGTTTAGGGATTAGGGCCCTTTGAAGCCGTAGGAAGAGTCCCCCCCCCCCTCCCCAAACACTGAAGTCAATAAAACCCCCAACTCAAGCACTAATCACAGCATCCCGGGCACTAAGCCCCAGAGGTCATCGCCGCGCGCCGGGTTGAGATGTCCAGCCTTTGGAACCGATATGTCCAGTTCAAGACGAGGCCAGATCACCGAAGCTCAAAGGCCCTAACTCCTAGACCCTCTAAGCCCTGAGCCCTTAAGATCTTAGCATCCGCAGTTGCTGAGTTGCTGTTTCGTTTTACCCAAGACCCCCCAAAAAACCCTAAAACCCCAAAACCCTGAACCCTAAACCCCAAACCCTCAACCCCCAAACTCTAAACCCCAAACCCTAAACCCCTAAACCCCAACCCCCAGACCCTAAACCCCAAACCCCAAACCCCAAACCCTAAACCCCAAACCCCAAACCCCCAAACCCTCAAACTACCCATGTACAAGCAGCTGCAGGTTGGGGGGGGGGGGGAGCTCCTAACCCCAAATTTAAGAGCCGGCTCAAGCCGCCGACCCCGCTGGAACCGCCTATGGTCCGTGAGTTTATGCCGTGTGGGTGGCCTGGCCCTCCAGGGAAAAGCTGCCCGGGGACCCCCCCCTACCCCCCCCCACCCCCCCCGCGTTTTGGGGGGGTAAGGAGGGAAAGAGGGAGGTTTTCACCTCCTTTTCCCATCCAACACGCCGCCAGGGTCGGCGGACCCCAAACCCCAAACCCCAAACCCCCAACCCCAAACCCCAAACCCCCAACCCCAAACCCCAAACCCCAAACCCCAAACCCCAAACCCTAAACCCTTTGGAAGTTCCCCCCAACCTCTTCAAAAACCCTAAACCCTAAACCCTAAACCCTAAACCCTAAATCCTAAACCCTAAACCCTAAACCCTAGCACCAGCCGAAGGTTGCGGGGGGAACTCCTGGCCTCTGGTCTGCCTGCCTTTGCATCCGCCGAGTTCTTGGAGCGCAGCACAGGGGGGAGGTTCTCTAAGTTTGGGGTTTGGGGGGTTTAGGGGGTTTAGGGGGTTTAGGGTTTGGGTTAAGGGTTTAGGGTTTAGGGGGTTTGGGGCTTTTGGGGTCCTTCTTGTAAGGGTGCCGTACTACAAAAGGGACCCAAAAGGGAACCGAAGCCAGAGAACTACCCATGGGTCTTCAGGGATTTCCGGACTTAGAGGGGTTTAAGGGGGTCTTGTAATATAGGGGTCTTATCGAGGCTTCAAGGAGCTTGAGGGGACTTAGTTAGGGCTTGGGGGTTGAGATGGGGTAGGGGGTTTCGCAGTTTTGGCTGCGGGGCTGACGGTTTCGAAGGCATCATGCCTTGGTGTGGATTGCATGCAGCCGCCAGCTTCCACAGCGATCCACAAGATCCTGACGATGTCTGAAGATTGGTGCCCTTGCCACGCAATCCCCAAACCCTAAACCCTTCTAAACTTTAAACCCTAAACCCTAAACCCTGAACCCCAAACCCCAAACCCCAAACCCTACACCCTAAACCCTAAACCCTAAACCCTTTCTCCACCAGCATATCGCCACGAGCGAGCCTCTCTTTAGGGTTTAGGGTTCAGGTTTTGGGTTCAAGTTTACAGACCCCTTTAATTAAAATACAAAGTCCTTTTCTTGCAGGTTCCCTCTCGCTTTTGAGGTTTTCACGCTTTAGGGTAATGGGTTTAAACGGGGCTTAGGGAGGTGTGGGCTTTTGGGTGCAGGGTTCAGAGGTTCAGGTGTTTATCCTGTCATGGGCCAGGGTTATGGGGTGCGCGCAGGAGGGCCAGGCGCATGGGGGAGCCGCTTGGAAGCGAGACGATAGGACCTCAAAACCGGAGGTGGTAGGGCCTTCATTGGGCTTTAGGGTTTGAGGGTTTAAGTGCTCTTCTGTTTTTGAGGGATGTAGAGATTTTGGGGCTTTACAGGCTTTAGGGACTTTGGAGGATGTGGGGAGTTCGGTTCTCTTGGCCGCAACCCTGCCTGAGATGTCTTGAGCCTGCACGACTTAGTGTGACAGATGTGCTGAGTCCTCCGAAAGCCTAAGCACCCTAGATCCCAGACTCCTTGTAGCAACAACTATCCCCAAACCTCCCAAACCCTACATCCCCTGGGCCGTTGTGTTTACCCAAAACCCTAAAACCCTAAAACCCTAAAACCCTAAAACCCTAAAGCCCTAAAACCCTAAAACCCTAAAACCCTAAATCCCTAAATCCCTAAATCCCTAAATCCCTAAAACCTTAGAGCCTAAACCCTAAACCCTAAACACTTGTTTACTTGATCCTTGTCGGCTTCTGAGCCAGAACTGAGGAGATTCTCACCCACGCCTTCTTGAAGAGCCTGTCGGCGCGAGGCCGCCCTTTTTTGAAGAGGCTGTTTAGGGTTTGGCCCCTCAATCCTAAACCAGAGAACCCTAAATCATAAACCCTAACCCCTCAACCCTAAACCCTAAACCCTACACCCTAAACCCTATACCCTAAACCTCGGATCACCCTCGGCCCCAAACCGGCCCCAAACCTATGAAGTTGCTAAAGTTTCCCTAAACCCTAAACCCTAAACCCTAAACCCTAAACCCTAAACCCTAAACCCTAAACCCTAAACCCTAAACCCTAAACCCTAAACCCTAAACCCTAAACCCTAAACCCGCAGGTGTGGTCCAGACGACGATCTCCGCCGAGTCGTTGGAGGGCGATGTGCAGGTCCGACTCGGTTTAGGGTTTAGGGTTTAGGGTTTAGGGTTTAGGGTTTAGGGTTTAGGGTTTAGGGTTTAGGGTTCAGGGTTTAGGGTTTAGGGTTTAGGGTTTAGGGTTTATGATGGGGTTTGGATTTGAGCATTTGCAGTGGGGCTGATGGCTTTACGCTTTGAGGGCTTGTGTCTAGGGGCTTCAAAACATCCTAGGAATACACAAGCTGTAACCCCAAACCCCAAACCCCAAACCCCAAACCCCAAACCCCAAACCCCAAACCCCAAACCCCAAACCCCAAACCCTAACCCCTAAACCCCAAACCCCAAACCCCAAACCCCAAACCCTAAACCCTAAACCCTAAACCCTAAACCCTAAACCCTAAACCCTAAACCCTGTGAAGGAGCACCTCCTCTGGCACGGCACCTCACGCAAGGCTGCAGAGGCCATCGTGAGAGCTGACTTCCGCATGCCAAAGGAGCGAAGAGCGAACGCGTCTAGGGTTTAGGGTTTAGGGTTTAGGGTTTAGGGTTTAGGGTTTAGGGTTTAGGGTCTAGGGTCTAGGGTTTAGGGTTTTAGGGTCTAGGGTTTAGGGTTCAGGGTTTAGGGTTTTGGGTTTTGGGTTTTGGCTTGGCCTTTGAGGCATTTAAGGCTTCTAAGGCCTTTACGACTTTCAAGGCTCTTAAGGCTTTTAAGGCTTCATAAAGATTTTTGAGGCTTGCAAGGGTTCGTGGTTTACGACTACGTGTGGAAACAAATCAAGCCGAACAGGGCTTGGATGCTAAAATTCAAAAGTCAAGGGAAAAAGGGTTGAGAAAAATTCGGTGCGGGAAAATATGTCTCGCAGAAGGGGCCTAAAGTCAAGACCTTCGAATCATGGCTTTGCACAATTTCCAGCTAAATAGCTCACCGACTTGATCATGACGTTGGGACCAGTCTTTCTCATGGGTGTACGCTTGCTCACAAAACTATGGGGTCAAAGATCATGGGGACATGTCGCGACTGCTGTGTATGTCCCATGTTGTTGAAGGAGCAAGCCGGACAAGCAACAACATAGTATATTTTGCTCCGAAGGTCCGAAAGCAGGGGTCTGTTCGAGGCACTATGGCCAACGTTTTGCAGTTTGATCTCTTTGCGATGTTTGGGGACACAGGATTGCAGGCAAAGGGGACGATAGCTCGGAATTCGTCTTACTGCTTCATGGGTGCGTGGTGGGCGGTGCACGGATGAGAGGCTAATGTACTAAGGCCTGGAAAGAACCCGCAAAAAATGTCAGTTGCACGTGTTCATTTTGATCCGGTCTGGCAAAACAAAGTTTTCCCGCCAGAGTTTTTCCTAAAAACAAAATTCCCGGGAAATTGTTTTTGAGCCGCTCTCGCATTCAGGAAAACAGCTCCAGAAACAATAGAAATCCAGGCATACACGAAAGAAACCTTAAGAAAAAATCGCCTGACCCGGGACATTTTCTTCAGGATTCCAGCCCCCGAGCGGGAATTTAAAGAAAAAACCTGAGGTGCGAGGACTTGGGGTTCAGTTTGCACGAACAACATTGTTCTTCATATTGGTGAGTGAGGGGGGGCGGGGTAGGGCTTTGTTAGGCACATGTCGCAGGAGATGTCTGCGCCAGAGATGGTGGTCCTGCAGTTTTGACATTTTTTCCAGCCTGCTAAGCATGGGTCATTCGTGTTTGTAATGGTACAGCCTACAATCGATGTCAACAGGTTTTTCAAAATGTCGCTCAACCCCCCAGCTTAATTTCCTTGTCGAAACTTTTCTCCCGTGACTTTTGAAATTTAGCAGGCTTGGATCCCCCCTGTGCAGCCTTCATGAGGGTGGCTGTCAAAATTGTGGTCCCTGTTCGGGTCCCGATTCTAACACGGCAGCAAAAAGTTAAGGTACCCCAAAAGGGATCATTATTTTGACAACCACCCATGAGGAGATAAAGAACGGAGCGCGGTTTGGCCGGGGGCTCTACTTTGCCGAGGACGTCGGCAAGAGTTTGACGTATGACTCTTGGACCCAGAGATCAGTTGGTTCTTGCCGATTCGAGGCGGTCATTTAAGGGGTAAAAGGAGGGACCCCTAGAAGGGACCCTTAATCTTGTTCTCCTCTATGACCCCTGTACATACCTTAAAAGGTACTTTAGTAGCCCCCCAATAGCCCTGAATCACCCCTAAGGTCCCTTCTAAGGGACACTCCTTTAGTTCCTTGAGTCATGAGCCATCATGCGGTGGCTAAGGCTCCGGCGAACACGTCTTCTGATGGACGAACGACCTCGCAGTTTCTGCAACTCCGCAAGCACTTGCTTACCCAGACCCTGGGAGGATCCAAAAGGTAGAACCCCCCAAATAGTACCCCATACTACTATGGTTTGATTCTTAGGAACCCTTCAGGGGATCTGCTTTTTGGATCCTCCCAGGGGTCTGGGTTAGTTTCTCAGGTTGATCGGATTTGTCGCAGTCGCAGCATCCCCATATCCCAAATGGCAATTTCCCAAAATAGGGGCACCCCTTGTAGACCCCAAATAGAAGAGAATCCCCTTAAAGGGACCCCCCCCACAAAGGGTATCCCCTATTTTCGCGCCAGGCTTCTCTGCCGCGTGCTGTGTGGACAGATGCACTACACGAAGGAGACATCTGACCTGGATGCGGTGGTCTCAGCTCACAAGGCACGGGCTTTCCCAACCAGCGTTCGCTTTGGCGTTTACTATAGGGTGTCGGGATAATTACCAATAGTGGTCCCTTATGGTCCCTTTAGAGTTATGCCATAGTAACCCCCCCAAAACCCTAATTATTCTAACTATTAAGGCCCCTATATTTCTGCATGTCTGGGCTTTAGGGTGGAGTTTTTCGGCAGGAGTTACAATGTCAAGAGCTGCAATCATGGAAGCCAGGTCGTCCTGAGTCCAGAAAACACTAGCCACACCCCCTGCAGTCCACGGGGAAGCAAGACGCTGAAAGTCTGACTGCACGCATGTTTTCTGCTTTTCTGACAATTTGTGTACCTAGAACCCTCTCCGCAAAGCTTCTGGCTATTCGTCATGCAGTCGCTACCAGGTGGGAAAGCACTCTGTTCTGGCGAACCCTCTGCGTGAAGGGGTGCGCGAGTTCGTCGTCTGGCACGAAATGCAGGCGGACAGTTGTGAAAAGCTCATGGAAGCCGGGAAGTGTAATTCCCCTAGCCCTAAACCCTAAAAACCCCTAAGCCCGAAGCCCTAATCATGGTAGCTACAAGGCGTAACTTACGACGAGAATGCTTCTGTACTGCGAGTCCACATCCTCCACGCAGGTATACCCAGAGTACGTTGTGGAAGTCGCGGTTCACGATGTCGAAGCCCCGTGAAGGGAAGTCCTGGAGGGGCGCTCCCTAAACCCTAAACCCTAAACCCTGAAGGGAAGTCCTGGAGGGGCGCTCCCTACAAGCGCAGTTTCTTCAGACGACAGTTGTCTGCCTTGTAGAGCCTTTGCAATTGCAAAGGTCCGGTGTAGCTTGCAGCAGTTCGGAACGTTCCATAAGACAGTGTATGAGCGTAAGATAGAGTATGGCCTTTCGGAAAGCACGGGACCATGTCCATGTCGTTCTTCTCTTCTCAAGGCCTATTATGACTGTACTTCTGACCCACTTGAAAGCCCTCTAAGTGCCGTAATAGGGTTAGAATCTGGTAGCAAGTACAGTCATAATCTTCCGCCATCCCAGTGGCACCAGGTTGTCGACCCTCCTGGAGTTCTTTTTTTTTTGCCAAAACTAGTCGCAAGCATCGGCGCGGCACCTCTTCCATTCTTGCCGTCGCCGGCCTTCGCTTCCCTTAGCCTCCTGGCCGGCCCAAAGTGTGGCCATACTGGCCCAAACTGGGGGTTTCCGAAACGTAGGGATACCTTTTTGGGGTCCTTATTTTGAGGGGATCCAACTATTTGGGGGTCTATATCAGGGGTCCCTTATATTCGTGAACCCCCAAGTGGCCATACTTAAAGAGCTGCAGACTCAAAGAGTCGGGGGTTGGCTCGCCCGTCGAACCAGCGCGCGCTCGCCTCGCGAGCAAAGGCTGCGTGCTGCACTGCACAACCTAATGCCCGAAGCTTCACCTGCCCCCCCCCCCCCCCCTTCAGGTAAACCCTCAACCCTGAACCATGAACCCTGAACCCTAAACCCTGAACCCTAAACCCTAAACCCTGAACCCTAAACCCAAACCCTAAACCCTAAACCCTAAACCCTAAACCCTAAACCCTAAACCCTAAACCCTAAACCCTAGACCCTAAACCCTAAACCCCTTCGTAGAGGCCCAGCAGGGCCATGGCTTCGCTCCATTAGCCCTGCAATTTCTGCTTCACTAGCGCGTTCTGGGGTCCACCTTGTCGCTTACGGTTTAGGGTTTAGGGTTTAGGGTATAGGGTTTAGGGTTTAGGGTTTAGGGTTACCCCAGAAGCCTGAAACCCTGCGAGCCCTCAACCCTACAAGCCCTGCAAGCCAGCAAAGCCCCGAAAAGCTCAAAGCCCGCTGAGCCCCAGAAGCCGGAACCCCAAACGCCGTAAACCCTAAAAAACCCCCAAACACCCACGCCCGTCATCCGTGAAGCCCAACCCAAGACCCCAAATTTCTGAGGCATCCTCAGAGCTTGGGGGCTTCAAAGAGGGTCACCAGGACATTTCTGAAAAAATCTCCAACACTTCTAAGCCCACAGCAGGGAGAGCCCCTGTAGCCTCAAAAAGAGGGATGCCTAGGCCCAAGCAAAGCAGAAGTTGTGGGCCCAAAGTGACCTGTCTCAGGCGTGTGAAGTGAAGGCCCAAGTGAAGCGTCACATGCAGTCCTACGTGAAACCTGTGACCCACAAGAGGGGCACCTCACGATGTGCGATTTCAGACATGGTGCAGGGAAGTTCCTTAGACCACGTGCCGAGACTTCGTAGGAGAAAAAGATGCATACTATAGGTCCTACATACTTGTTGTTTAATACATATTTCTATATTCATACACACATATAAATAGATACATAAATAGATAGGAAAAATAAGTAAGTAAATAAATAAATAAATAAATATATATATATATATACACATTTCCTTATAGGTTTTCAAAACTGATATGGTTAGGAGCAGCCCCCGAGCCTCCGTGCTGATTGCTTTGCTGGCCTTGCTTGGGCCTGGCGTCACCTTCACGATGCAGACGATCGGTATGCTGACCGGAGCAGCCTGGCATGGCATCGGCTAGGGTTTAGGGTTTAGGGTTTAGGGTTTAAGGTTTAGGGTTTAGGGCTTAGGGTTTAGGGTTTAGGGCTTAGGGTTTAGGGTTTAGGGTTTAGGGTTTGGGGTTTGGGGTTTAGGGGTTAGGGTTTAGGGTTTAGGGTTCAGGGGTACACCCCCCTAACCCCGAAATCTCTAACCCCTACACCCCCTAAACCCCGAAGGCCCAAAAGTTGAGGGTTTGGAGCGGTCCTGAGCCTTAAACCCCAACCCCCCCAACCCTGAACCCTAAACCGTGAACCCTGAACCGTAAACCCCAAACCCCAAACCCTAAACCCTAAACCCTCAACCCTGATTCCTGAACCCGGAATCCTAAACCCTAAGCCCTCAGCCCTAAGCCCGGAACCCTAAAACCTGAACCGCGGCAGGGCCCTGAATCGTTCCAATGTTGAGGTTAGCTACGTGTCTGGCATCGATTACTACCGAGGCACAGCCGTGGGGCCCCCTCTCCCCTCTTTTTAGGGTTTAGGGTTTAGGGTTTCGGGTTTAGGGTTTAGGGTTTAGGGTTTGGGCCTCACGGCTTAGGGCTTTGGATTTAGGGTGTAGGGTTTAGGGCTTAGGGCTTAGGGTTTAGGGTTTGAAACGTGCATCCGAGAATCTCGGGAGAGCGCCTTTTGTAGATTCGGGGGGGGGGGGGGGGGGGAGGGTTGCTCTCTTTTCGGGTTTCGGGTTCTCCCACCAAAGCCCCCTGGGGCTTGCCTACTCTCACCCGACTTCAGCTAGCCCGACACCCGTCCGATTGGGTAGCAAGAAAGGCCGGCCCCTGCGCCCCATCATCTAGATTCTCGTGGCTTCCGGGGCTCCCTCAACCCCAAGACCCCCCCCCCCCCCCTTCTAACCGTAAGCCCCTGAATTTTCTGGGACGTTTACCCTAAGACCCCAAGACCCTCAGCCCTAAGCCCCCCCCGTCCCTAATTACGCCCTCAGAACCCCAAAACCCCTTAGACTTCTTCCCAAGACCCTAAGACCCTCAGCCCTAAGGCCCTACACCCTAAACCCTAAACCCTAAACCCTAAACCCTAAACCCTAAGAACCTCAAACCTGAAGAGCCCAAAAAAAAACCCTCTAACCCTCATCAGGGATCAACGAGCGCATCGCGAAGTTGCTACCGAACGGCAGCATCATGGCCAAGAACTCGGAGATGGTCATCGTGTCAGTGGACTGCTCCTGGCCCTAAGCTTTATACTACTTAGGGTTTAGGGTTTAGGGTTTAGGGTTTAGGGTTTAGGGTTTAGGGTTTAGGGTTTAGGGTTTAGGGCTTTTACTGACAGTCCTTAACAGTGATTATAGTTGGGGGGGGGGGCGGGGGTACTAGAATCCCTCTCAAGGACTGTTAGTATACGGGGGGAACTGCCAGGCCCTGAGGTGAGAGAAGTTATTCGGGGTTCAGGTGTCCAAGGTTCAGGTTTAGGGTTTGCAGGATTCAGGGTTTAGGGTTCAGGGCTCAGGGGTTTAAGGTACGGGGATGGAGTTTGTAGGATTCAGGGTTGCGGGTTCAGTGGTTCAGGGGTTTAAGGTCCAGGGTGAGGGCTTCGTCCGCGCACGAGCCCCATCCCGGAGCCCAGAACGAACACCAGCTGTGGAGTTCAGCACGCAGCCCCCGGCTGCTGTGTAGCTAGTGTAGGGTTCGGAATAAATACTACTTGGAGGTTCATGGTAACTGTACTTTTAACCCTATTGGGGCACTTGAGGGGCTGATAACTGGGTTAGAAGTACAGCTACAATTGGTAAATAAAGTACCATGAACCTGCAAGTATGGCCCTTATATGGTAGTCGTGACGTGCATAGACCTTTGCAAAGCACAGCAAGCATTGTCACCCGCTTGCAACATATGGGCTAGAGAAATCATTATACAATAAGAACCCCCAGCACGCTATTCTCATTGTTCAGGCCGCCATATTAGGCGGGCTTTGGGCTTTGGGTTTCGAGGGCGGCTTTTCAGCACTCCCTGCGCTGCAATCCTTGATCCCTCTTCCCTGTTTGTTGCGTGCGGGTGTGTGCGCGTGTTGAGGCAGGAGGCGTGCCGCGTCCTGGACTGCCACGGAATGCGCACTTTCGTCGTAGGCGGCTTTCGGGGTTGCTGTTACCGAAACTTTAAGAAGCTACTATCCTCATTGAATCCTCATCACGCACGGTTTACTTATCCACATTCTGTTAACAAATTTTTAAGCCCCTCAGCTAGGCCCTAAACCGTAAACCCTAAGCCCCCGTTCCTTCATGCAAAGGTGATGAGTACGTGCGGCTGCTGACCGCAAAGGACTCTGAAGGTGTGCAGGACCCTACTGCATCCCTACATGCAGAACATGGGTCGATTTAATTTGGGGGTTGACGAACATAGGGGACACCAAAAATAGACCCCCAAAAAGAAGGATTCCCTTAACATGAGGACCCTATTAAGGTACCCCTTGTTTCGGAAATCACCATTGAGGGTTTAGGATTTAGAGTTTAGGGTTTTGGGTTTCCGGCTTTCCCAGGACTACTTAGCCAACGGCGTGGCCAAGCTTCACCGAGCAGGCGTCGACTTCTTGGTGATTGCCTCGAACACGGCACATATCTGCGTGGGCTTCTCTGCGTGCATGGTTTAGGGTTCAGGGTTCAGGGTTTAGGGTTTAGGGTTTGGGGTTTAGGGTATGGTGTGGGCTTGTTTCCGGCTGCAGCGTGTTTCTGCAGGGTTTGAGTCTTTGTTTGGCTTCTTTCGGGATGTTTGAAACCTATCCCTATCAAGGACTGTCTGTATAAGGGGAAGCAACCCTACACCCTAAACGGTAAACCCTAAGACATAAACCCTAAACCCAATAACCTTCAAGGCCGGGTGCATGAGCGCTTTCCAGATCTCCCGGTGTCTTGGCTGGATGCCCCGACCAAGAAGCGGGGTTTAGGGTTTGGAGTTTAAGGTTAGGGGTTAGGGTGTAGGATTGAGGGTTTAGGGCTTACGGTTTAGGGTTTAGAGTTTAGGGTTTAGGGTTTGGGGTTTAGGGTTTAGGGTTTAGTAGCGGGTTTTGGGGATCCAAAATTTCGGGATATGGATGCCCTCTACGTCCCAGCTCTGGGCCTTGAACGCTCTGGAGCCCCAGACCGCCGAAACCGAAGATCCTTAATAGGGTTT